GCAGAGCAAGGAGATCATGATGACGTATATATATATATATATATAACGAGAACTTATTATTATTATTATTATCATCATCATTATTATTATTATATTTAAGTATATATCCTGTATTTTTTTGGTTGTATATATATATATATATATATATATTGTTTTCTCTTTTGTTTTTCAGCATTTCACTTCTCATATGAATTCTTTACTTATTAGGTAAAATGGAATTGGTTTCGATAAGTGAAACCGACGGAGGTGCTATTACCAGACTGCTATCAAGCAATCTTCCTCGCACGGTGGCTAGACATGCGATTATTGTATTGCATTACTTCAGAACCATCAGTGACGAAGAGCTACCTATAGATGTTCTTCTTGGCGGATGCGTTTTGTACGCGGTTAAGCAACGGCAATATCCTGATGCGGCCGAATTTCTCAGTCAGTGTTTGGAACGCGCGAAGGAAAGTGATATTGTTGGCTTTGAATTGTTGTTAGTGCAACTTGTTCGTCATAATGTGTTATTGATTGAGACATGCTTGCGTTCCGTATTTCACGAAGTTTTGCTTGACAACCCTGTAGCTGGATGCGATCGCGAACGCACTATTAAAGTGTGTCTGCATATTATTTCTCTTTTATACAAAACGAGATGGTGTCTTTTCCCAGAGACTGCTGCAAGAGCCGCTTTTCTTGTGGCGTGTGAGAAGTGTGATGTAAAATTGAGAAAATTACCATGCGCTTTTGGCACTCCCATGGCCACAGAGATCGCGGAATATCTTCGTGACTATAAGTGGGACTGAAGCTGTTTTGCTTTTACGTTTTTTTTTCCCCCCCCTTTCTGTTTATTGCAGCCATCTGATAACTGAATATACAATCTATTTATTATAAGTATGTTTTCTTCTTGTTCTGCCCCCATTTTGTAATTTTAAGTGTTTTTTTCCCTATTTCTGTTTCTATTGTTCTTGTTTTCTTTGTTAAATTTAGGCAGTTTTTTATTGATAGATTTCTATATATATATTACGTTATGGAATCTAACATGGAGGATGAGCTGGGTGATTGGGGTTTACTTAGTATTGCAGATATACTAGACGTTAATCACTTTCGCAAAAACGAAGTCTTAAGAAGTACAATTTTGACCCTTCATGATTTTGAAATACCTTTGCTTTCCTGTGGCCCATCCTATGCTGCACGGTATATTCAAATGTTGATTAAAAATTCCAAGTGCAACGCAGAGAATCGAAATAGCAACCTTGAAGAGATAGATAAGTCTCGTTCAGTTAGGCTAAAACAATCTCTTGCTGCCTCTGAGCTCATTCGTGAAAGACTATTAGGAGCGATCGAGTTATTTGCATTGACAGTACAACAAGAGAACCATAGACCTAGTTTTCTACAGATTGTGGTTCATCTAGGCTCTGTTGTTTGTCCAGCCATAGGATCCTTTTGTGATGCTCTTATTGAGGGTACAGAAGCTATAGCGTTGCAAAGCATTTCCTCTCCAAAAGAAATTGGTTCATGCGTGGAGGTTCTTCAACTCTTTAGGTCTCGGATAAATATGTCCGTATTGACAAAAGAACAACAAAGGAGACTTTTTTTTGCTGAGTTTTCTTTGGCGTTACGCTCGGAAAGACTTGGTGTTGTCGTGAATTGCCTTTTACAACAAGCAACCAAAGATGCAGTACAAGGAGAGTATTGTCCTCCTCCTTTAGAGCATCGTGTAAGTTTTGTAAAGGCAAAAACAGATGGATTTCTAACACGAATCTGTGAATTGCCCTTCCCTGTTCATTCAACGCAGGTGTCGTGTTTCCCTACCGAAGAGAGACTTGTTGTGTGTAGTGGAAATCGGGGCTGCGTCTTTGACCAATTGGGGATGATGGGAACTCGATTTAAATTGAAGGAGGAATTTGAGCTGCCAATCGAAAAGAATACGAGACTGATTCTCTGCAATGAAAAGGATCTGTTCCTGGCCGTTCGACTGCCGTCTACGATGGGAAACACATGCTATTCTATTCAAAAATGCAATCGTGTCTCTGGAGAGCTTTTAGCCAAATCCAAGATTTTATTTCTTTTTGACGACGCTTTGGTTGCCTCACGTGATATTCTGTTTGATATTCACGGCTCGGTGCTTAGTTGTCTGGTGTGCAGTGAGTCGTCGCGGGTATCCAACAGTAAGTGCCATTTAATACAAAAAGATTTGGATGCCATATTTGATGTTGGTCAGCATGAGTTTCATGTGACACCTCAAAGTGCCTTAAAACGCGGCCAAGGATTAGGACATGCAACGAAGAAATGCTATTATTTTACTAAAGTAAATGCGATATCTATTGGTCGCGTCACATTGAAGGAAAATTTTCATCCCTTTACCGTGGAAATGTGGGTTTATCCCTGCAATGCGTTGGAAAACCAAAGCGTTCTCTCCTTGGGAGACAAAAGTCTGGATGAGGTTTTGATTGAAATTGAGCCCACCCCAGAGGGTGTTTTGTGGCGTGGTGGTTCCAGAACGCCTCACCTTGGCGCCTCCTTTGTAACGTTCGCAGTTCCTGGAAAGCTGGCCTTTTGCCAACGTTGGTGGCACGTGGCACTTTTATTTAAAGGTAACTCGTGGGAGCTGTGGGTTAATGACGCCATCGTAGCTCGTGCACCAGCGCTCGTTTCTCCAGAGGCGTTGATAGACGTTGAGTGTGTTTTGGGAAAAAGCTTTGTGGGGTGCTTGGCTGAGGTGCGTATATGGAATTGTTGCCGCACCCCCGTACAGCTTTGTAGGGACAGCAGGCGTTCTCTCACGACGGCGGAGCCCACCCTTTCCGGATACTTCCCACTCGATGAAAGTGAGGGTGACGTCATTGCAGACTATGCTGCAAACGGTTCTCATGCGCTTTTGCATCAGGGGCAAGCGACATGGTTAGCGGTTGATCAGTTTCCTATTGCCCCACTAAACATTGTGCGTTGCATCGACGACTTTGCACCCATTGCCTGGCGAGAGTCTTCAGGGATTCTCTTTTTGTCAAGTTGTCCCGGGTATATTGCGGTTGCTGTCCCGACCGAAGGACCTTCACTCACCATCTGTGAGTACACCACGTACGATCTCAGACTGGTGTTTCAGGCGAGGGTGGAACTTCCTGTTCGTACGCCGCTTAAAGGCATGGCATACAATGCGTTGCGGCATTCATTGGCTTGTTATGCCACCACCGCGGAGCATCCCAAGCGAGTGCTGATTTGGGAATTGCACCAGCAGCACTATTTTCCCTTTTTAAAGAAGGATAAGTATGAAAATATATTGGAATGCGAGAGGGATTTATTGACACAGTGTGCAATGTATGCGAAGCGTCTTGTAGGGGCCGAGCGGTGCTTGGTGGACCAACTCTCTTGGTCTGTCCGTGTCCCAGGGCTTGTCGTAGATACCTCCGACGGATTAATCTCGAGTTTATTGCGACTTATTCATACTGTATTGGTTGAGCAAAAGTATCAGGATTACACCAGACAGTTATATGCGTTACTACATGCAAACTTGCTCTGCAGAGTTGAAAATCAACGAGACAGATTAATAAAGGAGATTGGAGATGTGTTTCCCGACGCACAGACGCTTATCAAGGCAGCACAGGGATATAGCGAAGCCACAAATACAAGAGCCGAGCTATTAAGGCTTGCTTTTCAAGAATCATTTTTTGAGTCTGGTCTTCTCTCCATGACGTGTCGTTGTTTGCTCTCCGAAAAAAGCCGCCTTGCTTTTGTTAAAACGCAAGCTGGTCGAGGGCGTATTACAGAAAAAGAGGATATGCTGTTTCGCTCTCTACTTGATTACTATGGATCATTGCAGGCATCGAGTATGCTACTGAACAACACCGATAATGCTCAACTGTTCTGCTCGTCTTTGATGGCTGAGGAGGTGTTTCAGGTGGACCGTTGGTTGGCGGGTAATGGAAAGGCCCTGGAAGCCATCCGGCGGACGAGTCACTCTCTTGAAGTTTTTCAAGAAATTCTTTTGGCCAAAGCTGTAGAGAAGTATAAAGGGGAATGCTGCACGTTTGTGACGACGTATGCGAAGTTGCTCCTACGAATAAGTGAGAGAATTATGGAGGTGTCTTCCAAGGCTCTTCGAAAAAAACCGGAGCTTTACCTTGGTAACTTGATCACCTGCATTGAGTGTAGCGCGGTGGGGGCGTTATTGCCTTCGTTCACAGTTGCCCTTCCACTACTGCCTACGAGTATTCAAGCAAGTTGTCTCCCTTCCTTGAAGAGTTGCCGTGAGGCTTTGTTCGCCCTTACCGATGCGCTGCCTCGCAATGAGCAACTGCCGTATGAACTCGGTGTAGCGTTGACCTCGGCGCTGTGCCGCATCGGTTGCTCCCTGCTTGTCTCTTCCGATGTGGTGACCTCCGAGGTGGAGCTGAAGTATTTGCATTTGTTGTGGGGCGGCATTCGAAAACCGGGCTGTGAGCGCGATGCGATTATTAAAAATATACAGCAAGGCGTGGGAGCCATTTCGCGAGTCATTGACGAGCTTCACAGAGATGACCCAGGCGCCTTACTGGTTCTTCGAGATGATCGTCTGGTGAAATTGGAACGACTTCTGATGGCGGCATTTTGTGCGCTGCTGATCCCCACAGAGTCCTTGCGGCAGGCAACGCGGCAGACTCTAGCACCCATGTTTCGCTATGTTCATAACATGCGAGCTTTGGTGCTTTCAAAGCGGCAGGAAAACCGAGAATCACTGGATGTTTTGGAAGAAAAGGCCACATTTTTGGCCCGTTTTGAGCCCATCTCTGGAATCCGAAGCGAGGAGCTACCGCGACTTAAGGCTGCCACCAAAGACGCGAGTCCCCAGCGAAAATGGAAGCGGTTTTTTCAGACCTGGAAGGCGCTGCGAGTTTTGAAGACCAAACTCCCTCAGCAGCGCGAGACAGAGTCGGGCGAACCAGAGGCTGTTATTCTGCAGTTTCTCTGGGATAAGAATGTGGAACGGGAGAGCGTTGACCGTCTTGTTCTGCAACAAACCCAGCGAGCGCATTATCGCCTCTCTGGTATGCTGCTGTTGCGACAGCTAATTGAGGAGGCAAGGGCGAGTGAGACCTTGGCAGGTATTGTTCTTCCTGTTTTGGCAAAGGCGTTTACAGGATGGCACTACTCGGATGATGTACAGTGTTGCTCAAAAGGGGATTTTCTTCGACTCCATGGTGCCTTCTTCCAGTTATTGGAGCTTGCCGTGGTCAGCGTTGAAAGCGGGGCACGTGACTTGTGGGCAGATGTGTTTTTGTCATTGTTAACGTCCGAGCTGCGAGTCATTGACTTTCGGAGGGTGCGCAGCGATGTTGTAACGACACTTGGTTCCCTGTGGAAATTTGAGAATCGAACTCCCAACGGGATACCAAGCTTGAATGGAAATATACCTGAAGGTGCGCGTAACACGCGCCTTGCCGCAAGTGGGGCCGCCCCAACACTGGTTATAGGTCAGTCTGGCTGTACGATGAAGGGTCTTGGGGGGAGGGGCACGTGCGTGGTTCCTGTTGAATGGAGTTTGAGCCAAAAAGATCTTCCCTACTACTTTGAGGTTCTCATTGTAGATATTTACCCTGGAGGAAGTTGTTGCGTGGGTGTAGGACCACCAGACTACAGTGTTTCACGGTTGCCTGGATGGGATAGCGAGTCATATGCCCTGCAGAGCGAGGAGGGCACGTTGCATGAGAGCAATACGCTTGGCCGGCCCACAGGCTGCACGTTTGGCATTGGGGATGTCATGGGATGTGGATGGAACACAGAAACAAGGGAGATTTATTGGACCAAAAACGGCAAAGATATTGTCGCTTCAGTGGAAGTTGCACAGCATCAGCTAAATCCCTTGATTGGAATGTGCGGAAAAGGGCTTCTCAAGGTGAATTTTGGGGCAGAACGATTTATGTTTGATAAAGTGCCCGGAATTAAACCAATACGACGTCAGTTGGGTGAAACAGCCTGGGATGTTTTCCGTGTCTTATCGCTTCGGGCAGCTCTTGGTCTTGTTGAATCCTGCGGTGCCTCACAAACCCACAATGCGGACTCCACAGAAGGGTTGCGGACGGTGGTTGAGCAGTGTATTGAATCCAGCTGTGCCGAGGTGGAGCGCGTCCTCGCGCTTCCCATGTCCGAGTCGTTTGTCATCTCTCTCTGTTCCCATTTAGCAACCTTGGCAAAGGTACTCGTGTCGGCAAACGATGAGGCTTTGACGCCCTGTGTACAGCGTGTGGTTATGGTCCTACAGAGAATCACTCACCACACGCTTCAGGGCGCCGTGTGGAGTTCCAAGTTGCGTTGCGTGCTTCTGAGGACCTGGTTTGCCTTTATGAACCTGGTGCATCCACACAGTATCACTGAGGATGACAAACTCCCCGGCTTTCTTGATACGCTGTTGGCACTGGGACGGGAGATTGAGTGGGCGGTCTCACAGTGCCCCGGAACGACGTCTGAGGCGTGTACGTCTGCTGAGGCATGGACGGCGCTTGCTTTTCTGCAACATATAAACTGCAATCACCCACCACATCGCTGGAGGGACAAGTTGCATGCATGGATTATGCGAAACCTCGAGACGCCAAAGGACAAGGCAAACACTTCTTTGGCGCTCCGCATTTTATTTGGGGCGCCACGACTGCTAGTGCCTGGAGATCGCATTGTGGTGCAAAAATCGAAGCACAAAAGGGTCACGGCGATCCTCATTGACTACTCGCTAGACGAAGAAACGTGCGAAATTATTGAGGATGAGGAGAAGCGACAAACCATTTCATTGCGTCAGACGGATATCACCATGGGAGACGACTCAGTGACCTTTCCTCAAACCGACAACAAGTTTCATGAAGAGCAAGTGGCGCAGGTCCTTCGCCTGGCCCAGCGGATCTGGGGTGAGACTGGAGTCGATACTGGTTTGACGGGAACTGCGCTTCGATGCAAAGTACTTGCTATTCTCTGGCGATGCGTGCGGAGGGGTGTTCTTGTTGCGCCGAGTGAAATTCTTCCCATGCTGGCGAAGTTCTGCGATAGTGGAGAAAACTTCCTGGAGGAGCACGAGGTGCTGGCGCAGGAGCGGTTGGTGATTGAGCATTGTCTTCTTGGGCGGGTGTTGAGCGGAAGCAGCGGGGGTAGCAACGCCGCGGGTGCGGTGGCGCTCGGCAGCAGCGACGGCAGGGAGCTTCGAACGCGCCTTGCACAGGAGTTATCCATGCGGGGCTATAATCTGGATCTTTGCTTTGTGGCGCTGGATGAGACGAACAATGACGTCCAGCTGGCGCTTCAGCTACTAGGCGATCATCATGGCGACTTTATGTCAACGCGCCGGCGTGCGGCATCTTCCTCCAGCGAAGATGAAGACATGAGCAGCGACGATGCCGAGATTGACGCCGCGGAATACGATCTTCACGTTTTATTCCCCGCCGAAAGCGATGAGGGAATGGACGAGGAAGTTTCCGTGGACCACTGTGACCCCTCGTTGTGTGATGGGATCCGCTTCATTGGGGGCTACGTATGCGTCGCGGGCGAGCGTGCGTTGGGGCATAAGTTTACGATTGATCTGCAGTTGTATCTCTTTGATAGCACCGCAACGCAGGTGGTGTTTCATCAAAAGGCCCTCACGGGAGGCTCGAGACTCGTGGCGCACATTCGAAACTCCACCTTATACTGCGGCTGGATGAAGACCGGAGACGATGCCTCCCAGCTGTGCAAGTTTCCTCTTCAGTACACGGACACGCTGCGTTGGATTCAGTTGACGGTGGTGCAGGACGCATCGACGTTTTCCTTTTACAAGGCCGGCGTGCTTCAGTCAGAGATGACGCTTGCGCAACCCGGCGCGATACTTGAGAATGAGCTTTACTTTGGTGGGTCCGCGGAGAGTGAGGAGACGCATTTCAGCGGAGGAATGAAGAATGTTCAGATCTTCGGCGCCGCCCTGACGAGGGAGGAGGTGGCTAACTTGTCCTCGTTCAGGTCGTGGGGCCTGCCTCCCCACCCCTCGCTCTCGCTGGTGTGTGCAAGCGACACCATCAAGGCGGTTTCGAGAGGGACACCGTACACCGCAAGCGTCACCGTGGTCGGGGCTGTGACGTGGTTTGAACAGGCCGAGGGGGGTGGACGCCCCGGTGACTTTTGCCAACACGAGATTGACTTCACCACGCAAAATGGCGAGGATGGCATCTTCAGCGTGGACACGGTAAATGAGGCCAGCAGTTTCACCACCCTTTGGAGACGAAGGAAGGACCAACGAAAAGACTATCTTCTGACATCTATTCTTAAACTTGACAGGCAGCTTGCGTGCTACTATGCGGTGGCCATCCTGACACAGATGATGCGGCTTACACCAAATGCAAAGAGTTTCCTTACGAGGGAGCAGACAAGAAACATGGTACGACTTACCGTGAATTCACTTGACGCCGATCTATTACAGTCACTCTCTGCCACGCTGCAACACTTGACAGGCGCTGACGATGGGAATGTTGTGAATTATGCCATGGAGGAACTTGTTGACATGGTGCAGCGGGAGCAGAAGATGTTGGTATTTGAGTCCTCACACCCCTTCAAATCCACCTCGGAAACGGCTCACGAGGTTTATGTGCCTGGTCGGCACGCTTATGAACTCTACTTTGATGCGCGGTGCTCGTCAAGCAGCGTGCTTGTCACCTTCTACGCCGATCATACCCTTTCTAGTATTATTGCGCAAACTCCTGGCTACGCATTACACACCCTTCTAATTCGGGCCCCACGTTTCTTTTTTGATGTTCGAATGGATGCCTCTACCCCGCAATGGGGATACAAGGTTGTTGTTCTCTATGATGCATCTGTGCCACGATCCGCGGCTCGACTGCTTCACGCCACATTGTCTGCGGTGATTGCGCGGGGAATGTCGCGCGTGCAATTTTTGAAAACGGGTGCGTGTCTTGAGGCCTTGGCCAATGCCAGTAGAATGAATGTTGGCACCACGCGTCGCATAGTATTGTCGTGTTTAACAGACATCTTAACTTATGGGGCAGAGTACATTGAACCCATGCCTCATGCGAACCGCATGCACGACCTTCGACGGATGGCGGAGCGTCTTTTCAGGCGAACAATAGGTTCTCAACACCTCCAAAGCCGCTTTGTTCAGGTTGTGGCCGAGTTTTACGTCGCCCTCAAGGATGCAGAGCATTGTTGGCGGGTCATTGGGGATGAACGGGCAAAGATTCGTGATGAAGTGTACGACGCTGGGGCCGATACAGAATCTTTTGTGCAGAAGAGGCTTGAGCAACGCAGATTGTACCGGCGTCGAGAGGGAATGCGTGTGACAGTGGAAAAGGTGCTTCACCCGGAAAGCCTTCGTATAGGGGTTAACCCAAATAAAACAATCTTGGTTTGGAGTGAGCGTTCAGGAAGTTCCGTTGTCGCGGATGTTCCTCTGGGCTCTGGAAAGTGGTATTTTGAAGTGCGCATGATGGCGACGGGGGACGTGTTTGTAGGCGTGCTTCCATCTCGGCTCCATGACTGGTCCGATGTACCAACGCCAGAGACGTTTTTGGCGTTGAACGGTAAAACCGGCACCTTCCATGGGGTGAAGGACGATTCCGTGGCCCCGCGCCGTATTTGGAAGGCCAAGGACTACGTTGGGGTCGTCATGGATGGCGCCAAGAAGACGTGCTCCTTTTTTGTTAACGGGTGTGACACAGGTCTTTGCTTTCGCTTTGCCGCAAGTGAGGCGGAGGCCGTTTGTGCCGCGGGAACAAACCTGCAAGATGAGCTGGAGATGTCGTATTATCCTTTTTTTGTGCTTGAAGAGGAGGAGGGTGTCACGATCAACTTTGGCGGAGCCCATTTTGAGTTTGAGTCCCCGCGGGACTGTTTTCCTTTCGACCCGGCGAACCTGTCACTTGGAACACTTATTCCCTACAATCAGCTTCGCGCCTTTCACGATCTCGCCACTTACATCGTCTCTGCCGGTCGCACCACATTGCCAACTTTTTTTCACGAGGAGGCAAACCCGTTTGATGGCTCAACAGAGCGATTTGGGCCGCCCCATGTTTCCTTGCATTCTGCGGTGGGTGTACAAATAAACTTGCTGCTGGTACGAAACACGGGAACTCGATTTGCAACTGTGCGGGCAAATTGTCGAGTTTCAGGGGGAAAGTGGTATTATGAGGTCACATTGCGTTCTCAGGGACTGATTCAGATTGGGTGGGCCTCCTCGGACGACCCGCAAACGGGCGGTGTCGGAGACACGCCTAACTCATGGTCGATTGATCTTTTTCGACGTCTTAAGTGGCATAATGGAAAGTGTGAGACCCTCACCGCTTCACGTCGCTGGGTCGTGGGGGACGTGATTGGTTGTGCATTGGATATTGTGGAAAGAAAAATGATCTTCCTCTGCAATGGCAGACCGTTGTGTGATGCTACGTTGAACGATTGCACGTTTGCGGGGCTGCCGACGACGCTTTCCTACGAGCCTGCAGTCTCGCTGCGAGCAGGGAATGAAGTGTTGTTTAACTTTGGATCCTCCAGTTTCAAGTACAAACCCGAGGGATTTTGTGCGTTGGGCGTTCCGGATTCCTGGAATGAGCGGATGGATGCCTTCTACTCGACTCTGCGGCCGTCCACAACGCTACTGCGGTTACGGGCCTTGAGCGATATTTGGCTTTCCACCGATAAGTTTACCATACGGGACAGGTTGAAACCCTATTCTCTGGTTGTGGATGCCATACAGCAGTACTGCCGACGGGAGGGCAAGAGCTTTGCCCAGGTAACGGAAGAAGTTTGCACGGAGATCTTTCGAGATGTTCCTATCCCCGCGCAGGAGGCATGGAAGGCATATACGGTCCTGGTTGCCTTTTCTCGGGTTTCTCAAACCGTTATACCGTTTTTGCATCTCGATACCCGACATCTTAACATATCCACAAAACTTTTTTTAGAGTGTCGTGGTCTCCTTTTTGCGTCACTTAGGAATGACATTGTGGATGACATTCTTCGAGTGACAAATGTCCGTGCCGAACACCTGCGGGTGTCGATTAACCGATTGAAGGCCCGCGCAAACAAGGGCTCATGGATGTCAACCGTTTTTGGTCAAACTTTTTCCCTGCTAGCAGACCAACATCCACGCGCATTTCGTACAAACAAGCGACTTTGGGGTGTTGTCTTTCTTGGTGAGGGTTCCGAGGATGTTGGGGGCCCCTTCCGCGAGCACATTGGTGAGATGTGCCGTGAACTTATGAGCACTTCCTTGCCGCTCTTTGTTCCAACCGCCAACAATGTGCATAATACCGGTAACTGTCGTGATGCCTTTGTGCCTGCAGCATCTGCGGTAGGGACGGCCGAGTTGACGGCATTTGTGTTTATTGGTCAGTTAATGGGTGGGGCTATGCGAAACAATGAACCATTGGGCCTGTTTTTTCCTCCCATTGTCTGGAAGTTTCTGTGTTTCTATCCCATTGAGGAGTCTGACATCGACGATGTGGATCGCATCTGCTTGCAGTGCATCCGAGAATTTCGGGGTTTGAAAAACCGTGTCGGTTCAGGCGACATGTTTGATGAAGTGTTTGATGCTGAGACCTTTACGACGCGGCTCAGCGATGGGTCAATAAAGGAGTTAATACCGGGCGGCAGTACCACGCGTGTGACCCTGGATAGGTGTGAAGAGTACGCCGATGCCCTTTCTGCTGCACGACTTGGTGAGTGCACGCGGCAGCTTGAGAAGATACGCGATGGGTTGCTGAGCGTGATTCCTGAGACTGTGCTATGTCTACTAACCGCAAGCGAGCTGGAGTTTCGCATCTGCGGCAAGCCAGACTACGCCGTGGAGGAGTTGCGGGATGGGGCTGTGTACGAGGGGCTGACAAGCGATGACAGAAGGGTGCAGTTTTTGTGGCAAGCCTTGGAGGATGCGACGCCGTTGCAGCGTCGACTATTCCTGCGATTTGTTTCCGGGCGGGACAGGCTTCCCGTCAAGCTGCGTGTGCTGCCACTCTCCACCCCGGGCGACGCCGACAGTGCTCTCCCCCGTGCAGCCACCTGCTTTTTTGCCCTCGAGCTTCCGGACTACTCCTCGGTGGAGGTGTTGAAGGCGAAGCTGTACTACAGTATCGAGAACTGCGCCGACATCGACACCGACTTCAACCCACGAGAGGTGGACGAAAGCGAGGCGCCGCAGCTGATGGTGGGGCTGGAAGACACGCGGCAGGAGGAGGTGGACTCGGCCACGTTAAGTGACTGACGCAACGCCTCCTTCCCCTTCCCCTCCTTTTTTTTTATATTTGTTTGCTCGTTTTATTTCTTTTCTTTCCTTCCCTCGCCCGCTCGCCCTTCCTGGTTAGAAAGACGGACAGTATTTCTCCTTGTTGTTGCTGGTGGTGGTGGTGGCCGCGCCTTCACTGTCTCCCGCGGCGTGTCCTCCTCTCAACGTTGCATGTTTTAACTCTTCTTTGCGCTTTTTCTAGAGGTAATTTGTCGAAGCTTGCCGCAAAAACTGAATTTACCTGAAATGCGTGGCTTTCCACCGCTGCTCTTTCTGCTGCTGTTGCTTCTCCCTCTGCGGGAGGTGAGGGGGGTGGACCAAATACAGGTTCACTCCGTCGTTCCACCAATTCTGCAAAACTACTGGGAAAGTGGTATGCGTTTTTGGTCCTTCGGCCTCAGCACGGTCGTGACGGACAAGTATATCCGTCTTACGGGAAACGCACCCGGCGCCAAGGGATACTTGTGGAATCGACATGCAAATCACATGGATGCCTTTGAGCTCAACGTCACGCTGCAGATGCGTGGGCGCCAAGTGCGTGGGCGTGGTGAGAGGCGTGACAGTGGCATCGGTATCTGGTACACCACCGCCAAAAAAGTCACTGGAGGCGCCGATGCGGGGTTCTTTGGCTTTAGTAAACGTTTCTTTGGGCTGGGTGTAATTTTGGGGCATTCCGATGAGATTTCTCTCGTTCATAATGACAACAGTGTTGACCTGGATCCCAGATCCTTGTCGTCGCGCCGCCAAGGTTACTGTCGGGTGCCGTCACTGGGCGAACTTCACATCACCATTACCGTCCAATATAACGCAGGCACAGTCCTTGTCTTCTACGTCGTCCACGCGGGCGAGGAACCGCGCTTGGAGGATTACGCCCAAGCTGTTTTTTGCACGACGGCCGCCGCGCCCTCGCTTGTTGGCGTATATCGCTTTGGTGTCACGGCGGTGAACTCCGCAACAGCACTGGCCATCCATGAAATTCATAGTGTCATCATGACCCCCTTGTCCGACGTGGCCCACCATAAAGAGGAGGAAAATCGGGCTGCCCAGTTCCGCTTGTTTGACGAGGAGGCAGGTGCAACGGATAAAGAACTCTTGGATGGTTGAAGGAGCAATGGACAAGGGAAAAATAGCGTACTGGTTTCGCTGCTTATGCACCTTCCCTCTGTGGCCGTATGTGCCTTCTTTTTTTCGCCCTTCTCGTCTTTTTTTTTTTACTTGTCCCTTCTTTATGGGCCTCTGAACTTGGATGGAAGGATGTGTCGAGGGCAGCGTGTTTGCAGTGCTCTTGCGGGTGCAGTGAACTGTCCTTATGTGCCAATCTTTACCCGCTTGGTTGCCGCCTACTCTGCAATTGCGCTTCCCTTTCACACTCTGCTACACCGCGTTTTTCTTGTCTCCTTCTTTCCCCCAATTTCTATTTTTATTTTTGCCGTTGCGCCGCTTCTTTCGTCCTTGTGGGAGTTCTGACGAGCGGAGCTAAAGGAGCAGTCGAATGATGGAAGAGAAAGGCACTCTTGTTCCCTTCTGTGCCTCGGTCGATGCCTACGTTAAAAAAGGGGCGGGCATCGATTTGGTGTTGAAGTCCTTGGCGGGCCTCTCTCGCCTGGTCTCCCTCTACAGCAAGGACGAGGAGACGCGTCAGAGTTATGCCAACTTTGGCTCTGCCATCATTAACTGTCGTATGTTGGCCAACCACTTCAGGCACGTCGCCTCTTTAAACTCCGCGATAGTCACATTAAAGCAGAGAAATGGCCGCCCGCTCCTCTCTTGGCTGTGCCTCTTTGGCTCCTTCTTCTTTCGCTCGCTGGAGCAGGTCTTTGGGGACTTGAACTACTACCAGTCGGTGGTGATGCGGCACTGGGACCGCAACAAGTTAAGTCGCGGCTATTGGTTTTTTAAGTCGCTTTCATTGACCTGCGGTTTTTTCTACGAGCTGCTCGGTCTGCAAGCCAACCTAGCGTCCCCGGAGTGGCCGAAGAAAAGCGCGGCGGGGCGCAAACAGGTTCTCTGGGATACGCTCATTTCGTTACTGCGGTATACCTTCGACATGGTGGTCTACTACCAGTGGGTGTCGTGGTACAATCCTTACAAGACTGTGCAGTACGCGTCCGCCGCCGCCGCCGGTCTCCTCGGCGTCTACGTGGTTTGGAACGACACGCAGGCCGCACGTCTCGCCGAGGCAAAGAGGGCGTCCTCCGTGAACGGTCCGATGAATGGGAAGAAGGAGAAGGAAATCGCAAAGCCAAACAAGGCGGCCACTGCAGCTTGAGAGGGGATGGGGTGGCTCTAGTAAAAAAAAAAAAACGAAAAAAACAATCAAAACTAAAAAAAAACGACGAGTCTGTTAAAAAGGGGCTAAGAAGGTAAGCAGACGCGGGGTGCAGGAAGCATGGTTGTGGAATGGCTAACAGTAACAAGAGGGGTTGAGGAGGAAAGAAAACAAATAAAGCAAAAAAAAATATCAGCAACGGCAGCAGCAGCAACGACACAAAAGAAAAAGACGAATCAGCGAGCAGAAGATTTAAAAAAAAAACGGGTGGGTGGGTCGGAAGGGTGAGGGTGAGGGGCAGAACACAGCTGTGGATAAAGGTTGAATTTAGTAGATTTTTTTTTCTTTTTATTGTCTCGCAGGGTGTTGTCGGCGACTGGCACTACGCCGTTTGCTCACTCGCGTTGTTGTTGTTGTGGCAGTGGAGGACGGTGTGGGGGCTGCCGGGTTCCGTTGATGGGGCCCTGCGGTGGTTGATTGCCAGCCTCGCTGGCCCTCCCTTTTAGGCGCCTCGTGGCAATGAAGGCGCGGCGGCAAAGCAGGGCACAGGCCGGCGAGCGCATCAGTTGGCCACGTAAGTCTTCAATGCGCCGTGGGACTGCGCGCGTTGTGGGCCGTTGAAGGAAGCGGGGTTTCGCAGCTAATTAATGTGTCTGAGAGTGAAGGAGAAGCCACTATACAGATGTATATATATATATATACATGTACATGTATATATATATGTATATATGTATGCGTCGGCGGCTCTTGGTGAGAGGGGAAAAGACAACAATTACAAAGGCAAGGGGGACAATACAGATTCCTGAGGGATGTCGGCGCATCCGCTACCGTCATTAGATCCAGCCGAGCAAACAATACGACGCGGCAGTGGTGAGACACAAAAGGGTAATACGACCTCCGTAGAGGGCAGATCAAGGGAAGCGAAAATAAGGAATAGTAAAGAAAAAACAAACAAACAAACAAGACACATACACCCATATATATATATATATTCGTATATTCACATATTTGTGGTGTTCCCCATAGCTGGCTGCTTTTCTTACGTGGGCATATGTATATGTGCGGTCCATTTTGCCTTGTACTGGCTGGGCACCTGCCACGGCATCCATGGATGAGGTTCTCTACGTCAACTCTCTCTACTTCTTTTTTTTTTGCTCTTAATCTCTGCGTGTGCTTAATTGCTCCATAGTTTTAGTTCTGCGTTGTCGCCTTAATGCAAGACGACTGATATGGAAAGTTGTGTTCATCCGTTGATAGGGCAGCTGCAGCCCATCTTCAACGAGCTTCAATCAAGCACGTCTGCCACGCTACCGTCTGTTATATTGAAACTAGAATACATCATAGGAGACGAAAGTGACATCTTTTTTCAAAGCAGCAGCGGCGGGGGCGGGGAATTCAGAGCCTCTCACTCGGGGCTTTCAAATTGGATCAACACGCAAATCCGAGACTTATTTAGTAAATTTGGCACACAACTTGCCGGGATCTTGTGCGCCAAAGCCCTCTTGGACGCCGACTACATTGGCAGCAACAGTTTGTTGCAGTTTTTTCTCTACCTGCTGGAGGGCTCTGTGAAGTCCTCTGACGTGTTCGTGGCGGAAAAGGCAGCTGAGGTGTGGGGTCTTTTACTGAACAACAGCGGCAGCTTCGCCGAGGGCATCGCACAGGCCAGGTTGAAAACATGCATTGTGGATCTCCAGATGGGGGGAGAGACGGTAGGCAAGGTCGCTGCCACCTTATTTCTCTGCCAGCTGTTGAAACACACCCCGTCGACGGTGGTGCCTTCGCTTGACGTGGTGCTCGAGGAGGTCCGGGTGGCATTGCGTGATCCCTCTGAGCGGGTGCGCGAGAAGGCGGCGTGCGTCTTGCATCACGCACTTTCCGTGATGGACACCTCCATGGGTCCAAGCGCCATCACCAAGTGGCGTGATGTTTTCTTGAAGGATTCGCTGCGGGGTTTGGAATCCAAAAAAAGAGAACTGCAGCACGGTGCCATTTTGTGCTTTAATGCCGTACTTACTTCTATACTGAGTGCCCCCTCGTCCTACGGCACGGCGGTGTCGCTCTATTCTACCTCTGTCTCCCATGTGCATGAAATCTGGAACTGCGTCAATACGAGCATAGCCAAGCCTAACCTTTCGCAGGAGCTTCGACGGGAACTTTTAAACTCTCTCATTCTCCTCGCGTCCTACGATGGCGCAGCGTTTAGAGAGCGTTCTCTTCCAGTCGTCCTTGCAGCTGCATCTACGATATTTCGCACGGCGCCGTGTCGTGAGGAGAAGTCGATGATGTTCCTTGCGGTGGGGAAGCTGGCGGCCCTACTACGGGACCATGTGATTCTTTACCTCGAATGCATGATGCCGCACATCCAGGCGGCACTTGGGCCAAAATCTGGGGATGAACGCTGCCTTGAGGCCGTCACATGCTTTGCGACCCTTGCCGAGGTCAGCCCCAAGGCTGTGCGGCCCTACTTGCGCCAAATTTTGGCTCCACTCTTCTCTGGGCCCCCAACGGTGGGTTTTGCGAAGGACATTGCAAGAATATGTGAGGCTTTTCCAGAGTTGCGATCCACCTGTCTTTCGAAGATATTGGAGGCGACGAAACAGCAACTGCTAAATGCCCATCAACGCCTATCTATGGGCGCGGGTGAGAGCGACGCCGATGCTGTGCTTTCCCTGCAGTGCTTAAGTGCGCTAGGCAGTTTGGATTTCTCGGGATATTCCACATTGCCCTTCCTCTGTGATGCCGTTATTCGTTATGTTTCCTTTCCTCACGAGGAATTGCGACGGGCGGCGATAAATCTTTGCTTTAAACTTGTTCTCTCCGGGTGCGCAGGTTCCCAGTTGCCGTGTGGGCGGACACCAGAGGGAGTTGTGCTTCACCACGGCCGCGACCACTCAAGACTGGTCAATACTGTGATAAAGGCACTTGTGAATGCGGCTGTTTCAGATCCGGAGAGTGATATTCGTCTGCACACGCTGGAGAGCTTCACAGAAGAGTACGATCATACCTTGTCTCTTCAACACATTGTTAGCTCGTTGTTTCCGGCCCTGTACGATAAGCACCAAAACCGGTTAGCGGTGGTTCGCTTACTGGGACGTGTGTCGCGTCGCAATCCGGCACACGTCTGCCCCATGTTAAGGAAAATAATGGTGCAGTGCTTAACCGAGATACAATTTTTTGAGCACGCAAAGAAACAGGAGCAGGCATTCTCCCTCTTGGGGGCCATCGTGGAGTCAACACCTGGTTTCTGCAAGCCATACGTGCCCTCCTTGCTTCACAGCTGCGTTAAGCGTCTACGCGAACCTTCGCAGAAAGTCTCAGTGTTAACGGCGCTTTTATCGTGTATTGGAAAGCTCGTACGGTATGCAGAGGGCGATGATGTTCGGGTTGCCGCCGAAATACGTCCTATTGTTGTTCAACACATTTTGGACTCCTCGCATTTACCAAAAAAGCGGGAGGCGTTACGAGCTCTTGGCGACATTATTCGTACAACAAGGGACGTGAATATCTTCGAGGTTCATCCCGAGCTTCTCTCTGTTCTGCTTCAGGCCTTGCATGGTGGATTTAAGGAGACTTGGCCTGTTAGAAATGATGTACTGCAGCTTATGGGGGTAATTGGGGCTGTCGATCCCATTCGAGTAAAAGAAATTCTTCGGGATTCACGCGTTAATGATAGTAACACGGAGGTGGTCCCCGCGATTGGGCTACGGAGCGAGGATCCCATTGCCCAGACTGTCGTGCGTAGCGTCCTGCAGATTCTCTCGTTGCCTTCTTTAACGGATGAGCAGAGTGTGGGGGCGGTGAATGTGATTGTGAAGTTGGTTTCACTGAGGGAGGACTCCTCCAGTGTCCTCGTCCCGTATCACGCCGAGATTCTCTCATCAATTTTGAAGCATGCCCAAATGCAGGTGCGCAAGCGGGAAGATATTTTGATCTCGCTTACCTCGTTTGTTTCACATATTAAAGGCTACATTCGCCCACACCTGGATGAACTTACCTCCGCCGTGGCGACATTTATTTCGTCCTCCGACATCCCTGTTTTCAATCAGACTCTTCTCCTTGTAAAGCAACTCCGGCGTTCTTTTCGTGAGGAATTTCGGCCTTACTTGTCCTCACTACTCATTCCAATCCTCAATGCGGTGGAGGAGAGCCCGCATGTTGTCGGTGAAAAAGTATTTGGCTTCTTTTCAGAGATGGGGTCACTTCTGGAGGATGAACTGCACAAAGTTTTACCTGTGGTATGCGACGTAATTGTAAACGCCTCATTTTCCTCGACATGTCGTGTAGCTGCGGTGGATACGCTTAAAAGCTTTGCCCAACAACTATCCGGTCTTCGTTTTCATGCGTCACGCTGCGTTCATTGCCTTTGTGGCGTCTTGAAGGAGCCTGGGCGCCCAAAGGCGCCCGCGGAGGATCCACTGGGAAACGCTGCGCTAACTACCCTGCTTGCCATTGCGCAGAGACTGGGAAAGACGTTTGAGAAGTTTACACCCATCGTTTTCCCTGTCGTCGCGGGGTACTACGGAGAGGTGGGTGAGGAGTATAAGCGCTTCTGCAGCGTCGTGCGGGACAACATTAACACACGAAAATACCCGGAGATGCAACTGTCTCAAGAAGAGAACAATGGGGGCGCCACTGTGGTCCCGCGCTCCGGTGCCAGCACAGTCAAATTGCCCAGAGAACGGCCGGCTGACCCCTTTGAAACTTTGCGGCACGTTTTGCGGAACTGGGTCCGTTCCAACGACGAGGATTGGAACCACTGGCTGACGCAGCTTGCGGTGATTCTTTTACGCTCAAGCCCATCGCCGTCCCATGGCTGTGCTCTCACGCTGGCCGAGTTACATGACCCTTTTGCACGTCAAATGTTGTACTCTGCCTTTGCTACTTGCTACGGTGAAATGAATGAAAGCACCCGGCAAGAGGTGGTTTCTCTACTGAGTGAGGTGTTGCATGGACCACGGGTTCCCTCTGAGGTTTTGCAGGAGCTACTTAACTTGTCTGAATACATGGAGCGTCTTGAGATCCGCCAGAATGCACACGGTAATGAGTATGGTAGTAATTGCCCGGATTTCAGGCTCTTCGACCTCCCTACTTTAATGGAGAGCAGTGAACGGTGCAACTTGTACTCTAAAGCGCTCCACTATGTTGAGATTGAGTTTTTTGAGACCATTCGAGAGTATGAGCGAGGCGTATTTCTAGGGATTCCACGTCCGCTTCCTTCTGGAGTTTGGCAAAATCTACTACAGCTTTGTGAAAAGAGTATCTATCTATGCAACCTGCTTGGGCAGCGCGAGAGTGCGAATGCCGTGCTAAAATTCATCCAACAGAACTACTCGATGCTTACCGGGCAGGAGGTGACTGAGCTCTCGCAAATGATGGATGCAACACTTTTTGATAAACTGCAGTGGTGGTCGCAAAGCTACCGAGCCTATGAACAACGTCTACGTCAGGAGCCAAATAAGGTTTCCAATATGGTTGGGTTAATGAAGGCGTTAGATGCGCTGGGAAGTTATGAGGAGGTGCTTAACTTGTGGAAGCTGTACTCCGTGAAGGTAAATAAAAAAGACGTTGCGGAGTTGGCTCCCATGGGGGCCCACGCTGCGTGGCTTATGCGACGCTGGGATGATATGGAACATATTACTGAATTTATGAGTGACGCCAATTACATTGGCACCACCGCCATATTTTACAGGGCCGTACTTGCTACACGGAAAAGACAATTTCGCGAGGCGGACCGTCTCATCAAGTTGTGTCGCCGACGATTAGACTCCAATTTGTCTGCTCTGGTGGCGGAGAGTTACGATAGGGCGTATGAGCTTTTTGTCGGCATCCAACAGCTCAGTGAGCTGGAGGAGGTTGCCGTGGCAGCACGTGATGTGCGGAGCGTGCACCGCTGGCAGGAGCTGTGGGAGCGGCGACTGGGATCGATGGCGTACGAAGGGTGGCCCGGCACGTTGGCCAACCACACTCTCGTGGTGCACCCCGCACAGGAGTTGGATATGTGGCTTCGCTTTGTTAGCCTTAGCCGCGCCAACGGCCGGGAGCAGGTTTCCAAGGACGTCCTGCGTGAATTGCTTGGGAACCAGTCTATTGAGGCGGCTGTCGCGAACCAGATGCTCCATCCCGCGATAGCCCTAGGGGCCTTTCAGCACCTGTACGAAACCAACCGGAAGGAAAAGGCGATGGAGATGTTAGAGCAGTACTTGGAGAAGGTGGATCAGCCGGGGACCCAGCCTGCAACTCACGCAGAAGAACACTTGGCAGTTTGTCACGCCAAGTTAGCGGAGTGGTTAACCCATCGAAAGAAGCCACACAATTTCTCCAAAACATTACGAAGCGCTTTGCAGCATTTGCACCGTGCCACCGATTTAGACAGTAAAAACGGAACCATTTGGCATACATGGGCCCGGCTGCACCACGAGGCAGCGACTAAAAATGTCTCTGGCAAGTTGTCTCCAACTGCTGAGGAGCACATTTTCTGGGCCATTGACGGGTATCTCCGGAGTGTTTGCCTTTCAAAGGAGTTGGAGGATACCCTTGGGTTTCTGTCGCTTTGGTTTATGCATGCATCACTGCCATCCATCCAAGGAAGCGCAGCTATTAAGGGAGGGATTCACCAAGTTAGCCCAACCGTATGGCTAAAGGTCATTCCGCAAATTATCGCTCGCATTTATTCCCGCGATGCAGTTATTGCAGAATATGCCTATCATCTTATGGTCATCATTGCCAAATCACATCCGCAAGCCATTCTTTACAGCTTGAATGTTGCGAACACGAGTTACCAAGGGAAGGGATCATCCGAAAGCGTGGAAAGACAAAAAGGGCCGCAGCGTGTGCTTGCGAGAATCGCAGAATTTCACCATAATGGAAAAGCCATGGTCAACGATGCTGCTCTGGCTTGTCGTGAATTGGTACGGTGCGCAGTCTTGTGGCCGGAGCTCTGGCTTGACGAACTGGAGCGGGTGTGGTTTAGGTGGGTAAGTGAGAAAAATGCTCATAATGTTGTATTGGCGTTAAAACCCTTATTGGATCAACTAAAAACGCCTGAAACAATGGCGGAATCTCATTTTGCCATGGAATTTGGTCAGCTTCTGACGGAAGCCTTTGATTGCGTAGAGAAGGCTGCTTCATTAGGCCGTGAAGGATATATGGAAGAGGCGTGGAGCCGGTTTAAGACGCTGCTGAAAAGGGTGGATGATCAGATCAGTGGAATGTCTTCGCTAGCTTTGCAGTTGGTGAGTCCACGTCTGTTGCAGAATGGGAGGAATTTGTCACTGGTTGTTCCAGGACAATATAGGGAGAATGAAAACTATCCACGCATCGCTTCGTTTCGAAGTACGTTGAAGGTAATGAACTCAAAACAACGCCCACGGCGCATATTTATTAACGGTTCCGATGGAAATCTCTACAAGTTCTTGTTAAAGGGCCACGAAGACCTTCGCCTGGACGAACGGGTAATGCAGTTACTAGGATTTGCAAACACCATTCTGAAGAAACACTTGGTAACTAAACGTCGAGGCTGTCTTATTCAAACCTATTCTGTAACCCCACTTAGCGACAACGCTGGGCTTGTCGGGTGGGTAGATCACTGTGACACCCTCCACCAGATCATTAAAGAGTACCGAATTAACCCCAATTACATCAGTACCGAACTCAACCTAATGCGAAGCATGTCGGATGACCTCCATCACCTCACTGTTATTCAGCATGTCGAACCATTTGAGTTAGCATTGGAAAAGACCGAAGGTGCCGACCTCGTCCGTTCGCTCTGGATGAAGGCCCCCAGCGCAGAGACATGGCTTGAGAGGCGAACGACGTACGTCAGTTCTCTCGCGACCATGTCTATGGTGGGTCATATCTTAGGCCTTGGTGATCGTCACCCGTCGAATTTGATGATACACGCTTTTAGTGGCAGAGTAGTGCACATAGATTTTGGAGACTGCTTTGAGGTCGCGCAGCAGCGTGGCAATTACCCAGAGAAGGTGCCATTTCGGCTTACCCGTATGCTTGTGAAGGCCATGGAGATGGGGGGAATAGAGGGTCTTTTTCGGCACGGGTGCATTATGGTGATGGGCGTACTGCGCGAAGAGGGTAGTAGCCTACTGGCCCTATTAGAGGCATTTGTTCACGACCCTCTTGTCTCTTGGTGGCGTGAGGAGAGAGGGAACGACGGGTGCGGAAACGCACAGAATACCGTGACCCAGTCCACCTCGCTGACAGGGTCGCTGCGCCCCATTCATGGGGAGTATAGTGTGGGGAGTTTACACGGAACCCAGCGCTCTTTGCACCGTCTAGGGGCGATCTCGCGTGTGGGCTGCCAGGGAGGAGAGACTGCACTGCAGCAAACTCGAAAGGCCCAAAGGGTTGTGAACCGGATCAAAGAGAAGCTTGAGGGATTTGACTTTTTTCAGGATAGGCAGAGCCGTGGCGACGATGGCCTCAGTGTGGAGGAACAAGTTTCAAGATTGATTGAACAGGCCACTTCCAACGAGAACTTATGCGTTCATTTTTCCGGTTGGTGCCCATTTTGGTAGGGACAAGGACATGCAACTGCAGCAGCAGAAGTTCGAAAGGTAAAGAGGTACGATGCACAGAGGCGGAGGCATGTGAAGACGCGCCCACGCGCACACCCCACACGCGAGCAAAAGAAAAAAAAGAACGAAAACCAACCGCGGTGGAGAAACTTGAGGAGCAAAATCGAGATACCAATAAAAACAAGGTGCATAGGTTTAGGAGAGGGCATGAAATGCGTTGCCACAGTGGGATAAAAAGGGATGAAACTATTTTGAGAGTTCTCCCAACCTTTTTTTTTTGCTTGTCGCAGTCTGAGTTATTCTTTTTTTTTTTTCGTCGGTCTTGTAGCCATAATAACCACCACGGTTCGCTGCTGTACTTTTAATTTTGACCCCATTTCCAAGTCCGCGCAAATACCCAAACGCAACTTCTTTTCTCCCTGACAAACGACCCAGCGCTAAGGGATAGTCTCCGGACGAGAACACACACACCATGGCTGACGAAGCACAGCTTGAGAAGCCGGTGGAGGGGCCCATCGTCACTCAGCAAGTTGATGTGGAGCCTGAAAACCTCAAGGATGCCATCCGCATTGTTGTTCGTAAGTCACGGGAGGTAAACGGTCTGGTGCGTGGCCTTTCTGAGGTTGCTCGCGCCCTTGACCGCCGTACTGCCCACATGTGCCTTCTTGCCGCGGACTGCGAAGACGAGGAGTACAAGAAGCTCATCAAGGGTCTCGCCACCCAGGCCAACATTGACTTCGTGGAGGTGGAGTCACGCGAGGAACTTGCGGAGTGGGCAGGGCTCCAGAAGCAGAAAAGCGACGGAAGCGTCAAGACCTTCAAGTGCTCGTGTGTCGCCATTCGCGACTTTGGGGAGCGCACAAGGGCCCTCGATATGCTGTTGCGTCAGCTAGCAGGATAGATGGCCAAGGATTCGTCCAAGTGCTGGCAAAAAAAAAAGAATAAATGCAGCCTAGGGGGTGTGTCTCTCCTATGTTTTTTTTGTTTTTTGTTTTGTTTTTTTCAGCGCAAACACTTCTTTATCATTTCGACACTTAACTCATGCATCGTTGTGACTGCACAAGCTGGCTTCCGCCCTCTCACTCTTCTTACCGCAGGGGCGGAACCACGACAACGGAGAAGCAGCAACTCATCAAACGTGTTTCTGCCCTTTTTTTCTCCTTCACATCTGCTGCGACAACGACGTCGGGAGTCACCGCTGTTAAAGTGCTTTACCAAAGTTAGTAAAGGAAGACAGGAACGCTACAAATGCATTGTAGACGGCCTACCAAAAGCGATTTCGCGCCGGTGACAGCCGGATTTTCCCCGACGCCAACGTCGTTCATTTTAGCCAATATTACGAACAACGGAAGTGAAACCAAACGAAGAAAAAATATTACTCCGTGAACAACAGCATTGAAAACACTACAACTAGTACTGACATTTTTCATTCCCACTGCGGTAAGCGCCGCGCTGTTTACGGGGAACTTAACGAGACGCCGCTCTAAACATCCCATCAAATTTCACCTCCTTATCATCAGGTAATTGCCGTTGCACTTATCCTCCTTGCCCCGTTTCCCTGGAGTTCTTTGTTGTGCCCCCTTCACATCTGCTATTCCCCTCCTTTTTTTGTTCTTTCGTTGTTGTGGTTGCTTTTTTGGCTTTGCTTTTTGTGTGGGGGCAACGACGTCTAGACCGGCAAGAAGACTGCTAGAACGAATAAACACAAACAGGAATGGAGGTGGCTTCCGATGCGTGTCCCGCTGCGGAGAAACCGCAAGGAAACGTCCACTCCCCACCAGAGGAGGCTCCCGCATTCTGCTCGGCGGAGAATCTGAAGGTGGCCGCGGTGCAGGCGGTGGGCGGGACGATGTATGGAGTCGCGATTGGCTTCGTTGGCGTGTACGCCTATTTGTACCTGATGTCAACTGACTGCTCCATGTACAAGTCGCGGACGGCCTGCGACACCGTATTGAACGCGGAATGTGGGTGGAACGCGACTCGAGGGGAATGTGGCTGGAAGAGCTTCACTTGTTATTGGGCCTACGGCAAGAATGAGGCGCCGTGCCTCGCGGACGACAGGTGCAAG